ACCAGTATGGACCAGTACAGACCAGTACAAACCAGTATAAACCAGTACAAACCAGTATGGACCAGTACAGACCAGTACAAACCAGTATAAACCAGTAAAGGCTCCCAGTATAAACCAGTAAAGCCATTTTCCCTCTTTTTTCCCATTTTTAACCCTTTAACTCCCTCCCAGTGCCCCCAGATCCCCTCCCAGTCCCTCCCAGTCCCTCCCAGTATAAACCAGTAACCCCCAGTCCCAAACCAGTACAAACCAGTACAAACCAGTATAAACCAGTAACCCCAAATCCCCATTTTCCCCTATTTTTCCCCTTTTCCTCCCATTTTTAACCCTTTAAGTCCCTCCAAACCCCCCCAAATTTCATCCCAGTGACCCCCAGCCCCCTCCCAGTGCCCTCCCAGTATAAACCAGTATAAACCAGTACCGCGGGCTCCAGCGTGGACCAGTACCAGAGGCGCTGGGCGTCGTCGCGCAGGTCGGGCCGGCCGCAGCTGGGGCAGCCCAGGGCGCCCACCCCCCTCTCCCGCAGCCCCACCGTGAAGTGCAGCCGGAAGCACTCGGGGCACAGGGGGCACGAGCAGCCCGGCAGCCACTGCATCTGCACCAGTATAAACCAGTAAGGACCAGTATGGAACTGGTTTGGTCCCAGTTGGATCCCAGTTCCATTGGGGTTAATGGTGGTGCTGCCTCCAGTGGTCAGTGAGGGAATTGCAGGCATTAAAACGCTAAACCAGTATGAACCAGTAGCTCCCAGTTAGTCCCAGTTCATCCCAGTAAACCTCCAGTAAGTCCCAGTACCCACAAACCAGTATAAACCAGCACAAACCAGTACAAACCAGTAACCTCCAGCACAAACCAGTACAAACCAGTAACCTCCCACTAATGGGTTTCTATGGTGGTGCTGCCCCCAGTGGTCACTGAGGGAACTGCAGCCATTAAAGCGCCAAACCAGTATAAACCAGTAGCTCCCAATTCATCCCAGTTCATCCCAGTAAGCCCCTAGTAAGTCCCAGTACCCACAAACCAGTATAAACCAGTATAAACCAGTAACCTCCCACTAATGGCTTTCTATGCTGGTGCTGCCCCCAGTGGTCACTGAGGGAATTGCAGCCATTAAAACACAAAACCAGTATAAACCAGTAGCTCCCAGTTCATCCCAGTTCATCCCAATAAGCCCCCAGTAAGTCCCAGCACCCCTGAACCAGTACAAACCAGTACAAACCAGTACGAACCAGTAAACTCCCACTAATGGCTTTCTATGCTGGTGCTGCCCCCAGTGGTCACTGAGGGAATTGCAGCCACTAAACAGCCAAACCAGTATAAACCAGTTCATCCCAGTATCCCCAAACCCCCTCCCAGTTCATCCTAGTTCATCCCAGTAAGCCCCCAGTAAG